AAAAAAAAAATTAAAAAAAAAAATTTCGAACTTCGAAAAAGCATTGATTTTTGTCATAAAACTGAAAAATTCCATATGTATTGACTTACAAAAATTTTTTAATATTTTTTATCGGAAAGTACATCTAAAAACAAAAATTTTGAAAAAAAAAGGTACCTAAATGTTTAGTTTTGAAAAAGTTATGGCTATTTGAAAATAAAAAAGCCATTTTTTTGAAAAATTCATAACTTTTTTGGAGTTAGGTAAAAAAATTCAAAAAAATTCTGAGAACCGTTTTTTATAGGGTAGAAAAGGATGGAAAACTTTCGGCCAAATCGAAAAGGGTCGGGGTCAAAAGTGGTCGATTTGGCATGGAATACCCCATACATTTTCTGACTCAGCTCGACAAACTAAGTCAGAAAATGACTGAATTTTTTAAAAGTCGCGCCATGAGGACGGCTGCAATAGTTAGATTTTTATAAAATCTACTAAAAAAATAATTGAGTGAGAGGTTACTACTTTTCATAATATAAATGCAATTTGAGACAATGTAAAATAATGTGACATGTTAACTAGCTATTCACTATTAAAGTCAACTTTGTCCATTAAACTTTCTCTTTCATACTTTAATATAGATTTGTTCAAATTCAATTAAATGTAAAAAATTAATTTGCATACAAATAATAATATTTTTTATTTTCAGAATCAAAAGAAGAATTGGTGAGAGATAATCATCGCATTCGGAATCCGAAGATTACGAACCCTTCATCGTTGGAATCATCCCCAGATGATAATGACGAAGAGGAAACGCGAGTCGCTAAGGCTAAAGCAGCTAGAAATGTATGTATGACATCCATCAGTTTAAAAATAGTATGTTCTTTAAAAGAATCATTAATGAAATATTATCTTTTTGAATGTTTTTTTTTTACAGAATAAAAAACAAAGTGAATCACAATGTAAAAAGAGGAAAGTGGAGGAAATGATTAAGATTTACGAAAACGATAACCAAAATAAGAAGCAGGCAGTACGTATATGAAGATAATAAAAATTAGAGAAATTTAGCTGAGACATTGTGCTTATAAATGTTCATTATTTATCAGTTATTACATATTATTTATCTTTTTTTCAGAGTTCCGAAGAACTCAATTCAGTTGATGATGTAGGAACAGATCAACCGAATGGTACTCGATTCGACGATTATGATTGCATTCAACGTCAATCAGATGTGGAAACTGATGAAGAGGACATAAATAAACGTAATTCGACAGTTGATAAGCGATCTACCCGAAACAGAATATCAAGTGATTCTGAATCAGAGAAAGAAGGAGAAGTGCCTACTCGAAATGATCAATATGTTGAACCAATTGTCATTATTAATGATAATATTGATAATAATACACTTAATGAAGATGGAGCAACATTTGATCATAGTCAGGTATAGTAAAGCATTTTTTAAAAATCATTAAAAAGAAATTAAAAACATTAGCTATATTTGAAATAATTATTAGAGGTGTCAAATTTTAAGATTAAACATTCAATCTTGAAGAAATTCGTTTATTAGATTTTTTTATACTACACTTAATATAACACGTTATACAATAATGTTTACTTCCAATTTATTGAGTACGGAAAATTAATACATTGAAGTAGTAAAAATTTCACGGAATTTCAATTCATTTTATATACGTATACAAAAAGTTATGTCTGCTTTAATTGAAAAAAACATACACAATTTTTATTGCTATTTTTTAAATATTTATAGGTTTTAACGTTTATGAAAAATTAATTATTGAAGTTATACTTCTTTTGGCGCGTTGGAGAAAAATGATGAGAGTGAATTTTTACGATGCGCGCGCACACCGATAGCTAAATTCTACATCGTAAAGTTAGTTCTAGGTGGTATGAAAATTTTGATAACTATGTTCAATTTGTATATTCTAGTATTTTTATATTTAGACCACGTGTTTCGTAACAGTACAATTAAACAGCATGAATAAATAAATATTATTTCGGTGTTTTTTGATTTTATTTTTAATAATTAAATTAGAGCAAAAAAATATTTTATAAAAATTGCACTTAGAGTTTTTGAAGTTTTTTTACAAGTGAAAATTTTTTTTTATTTTTTTGTAATCATTTTTTCAATTAAAAAAATTCTAAAAATTTTTATGTCAGCTAACTTAATTTTCATAATAATTAAAATATTTTATAATGATCGATTATAAACTATTGATACTTTGCAGCTTTAAAATTAGTTGATTTAGAAAAATCTTCAATAATATTGAATTAAATTCATATGATAATTAATGATTTTATATTTATGCGGTATAGCTAAATATTTACTATAATAAAACCTATTTGAATTTTTTTAACATTTTTCTTTGATCATTTTTGCATTTTTTTTTTTTTAATATTTTTTATTATGTGCCAAAGAAGTATAACTTCTAACGCGTGTACATAAGTACACACACCATTTTTTTTTTTTTAATTATTATTTATTAATAAATTCATATAATTTAATACACTTTAATAAAATTTCATAAAATTCAAAAATTTTATTAGAGTTATGGCTTATATAAGTTGTCTTAGATTAAATTTTATAATCTGCAATGGAGTTTTATGTCAAAATCCATTTTACATTTATGCAAAGTAACTTCCGGGAATGCCTAGAATGTAATAGTTTATTAGTGAGTTTAAGAAGTTTTAAAAAATTATCATTATATCACGGATATAAATTGTGGAACAATTTATTTTTTTTCAAATATTAAAGTTGAAAAAAAAAAATCACATCAGCTTATTAGTTTGCGAATGTTTAGTTAAAAATAAAACCTTATAAAATTTTTATTTTGCAGTAACTCTCTATCACTTATATAAAAGAAAATAGGTAAACATAACTGAGGAAGAAAACGCTGACTATATTGTAATTTTTATGCATAGGATTTTTGATAAAAATTTGTATATCTTGAAGTATATATACTTTAGTATATACTAAAGTATATATACTTTAAATGAGTAACTAATGAAATTGAATTTCGTCATGTTTTTTAAGGCCTTAAATCACCCGGGTTATTTGTCAACATCATCTAAGGAAATTCCTGCGAAAACAACGATTCTTAAAGACAGAACGGTAAGTTAAATTGTTACTAAATTTTCTGTTTACATTTCATTCTTTCAATGACTATACTAAAAAATATTTTATTAATCTTATTTATATATTTTATATTCAGAATGAAGATTTAAATAAGTTATTGAAAGGTTTATTAGAAGACAATAGAAAAAAAGATGAAGAAATTGCTAAGATGAAAGCTATGAATCAAAAATGGAGATTGGAAACAGCTTCTGAACGAAAGAAACTGGAACAACAACAGCAGCAGCAACAACAACAACAACAACGACTACAACAACTACAACAGCAGCAACAGCAGCAGCTACGACAACAACAACAACAACCACAACAGCAACCACAACAGCACCAACGTCAACAGCGTTATGATCCTTATCATTATTTAGATAACGCAACATTTGACTTTGGAGATGGTATGACTATACCAAGTCATGAATCCCGAAGAGCATTTGATGCAAAGACCCCAGCTAAATTTATTAAGATTATGTCTCATGCTGTTTGGGGCACTGAAAATCTATCACAACGAGTAGTACGGAAACAAAAAAATACGAGAGATCGTCGGCAGTTATCTCCGAGAAAAAAAGAGTTACTGCAAACACATTATAGACATTATTTACAAGAGCAAAATTATTCCGTAGAAAAGTTTAATATAGAAGTAAAGGAAGTAACTGTTAATAAATATCTGGACCAAGCTATTCAGTCAGCTAAAAAAATTAACAATAGCTAAAGAAAATATTTCTATAATGGTCCAGAATAATAAAGTCCTAATTTATTTGGTTATTAATCGTATTATTTTATAACGTTCACTATTAGTCTTGATGTCATTAAAAGAGTAGTACGGCTACCCAATTTAAAAACATAGTAACTGCAAAATTTTTATACCTGAATTTTTTAGTATTGCTGTGTTTTTTATAACCTTTAGACCTTAATTTCAAGTATTTTTTCTTAAAAATATTTATATTCTAGTATTTTCTATTCATAAATCAAATTTTTTATCAATTTGGCGCGTAAACTATTTTTAATAAAAAAAAATTTTTTTAATCTTAAAATTGTCAGTTATTGTGTTTTGAAATTGGGCAGCTGAGCAGTTGGACTTGTCTAGTATGATTGAGTTGGACTTCTAATTTTTTAAGGTTGTTTGGACGTCACATATGGTTTATGCTATTGCTGTCGTTTTTATTTGCTAATACTATCACTCTCGGGGATTATTGCCAATTCTTTTACTAATAGTTTTTATATGGACCTCAATTTTTTCCATTAAGACATTTTAAAAAGCCATCATCAGAATTTTTCCTATCAATTCTGAAATTATCTACAAAATTGAATTTATATTAATGATAATTTTTCGTTTTTTTAATCTTTAGTAGATTTGTCAAGATTATTTGAAATATATGTCCTAGCAATTTTTACTATAAGACAGTAAAGTGACTGCTTTTCACAAATTCAATTTCAATAATTAATTAATGGAAATCTCTTCGTCAGATCTTTCTCAAAAAAATAATTTATATGTATTTAATATCAATTAAAAACATATTAAAAGAGTCGAAAATTACTATACATCGTATTATTGTTTGATCAACCTTAAAAACATCGATAGAAAATCATAATTTTCCATTTTAATTTATAGGCTAAAAATAGAAAGAAGTAATTGGATATCCTATTGTCTATAACATTTTAAAATTTGTATCCTATAAAATTTTTAAATTAGAAAATTAATACGCTATGCTGCAGCACGGCTACCCAATTTCAAAACACAGTAACTGACAATTTTAAGATCAAAAAAATTTTTTTTATTAAAAAAAATTTACGCGCCAAATTGATAAAAAATTTGATTTATGAATAAAAAATATTTGAATATGAATATTTTTAAGAAAAAACACTTGAAATTAAGGTCTAAAGGTTATAAAAAACGCAGCAATACTAAAAAATCAGGTATAGGAATTTTGCAGTTACTGTGTTTTAAAATTGAGCAGCCGTGCTGGTGGATGTATGAACAATTGTCGTGTACTTTACGAAGATTAATACTTATTAATGCGCTCAAGAAAAATAAGTTCATAATCACATTTTTTCTATATTCAGAAAAAAAAAAGAACAGTTTAAAATATATTGATACGGTACAAATACAATACTGTCAAAATTGTATGTAAAATTAAAAAATGTTACTACTTACTGTAAAAGGCACAAATAATAAGCGTAAAATTACATTTAAATATGTAAAAATTAATATTTAAAATTGAATTTATAGAAATTGCACTTTAAACTATTATTTTGAACTAAAAATATAATAATAATATAAAAATATAAAATATAATTTAATTTAATGAACATTCACAAATTAACACAAAATGAAATAATGTTGATTTCAAATTCAATAAATCAAATTATTATTTTATACAATAATTGCAATAAAATATCACCGAATGTGAACGAAGTATTTGCAATGAACGACGTGTTTTAAGAGCATAAAATATTATTATTATTAACGTCAAAATCCATTTTACATTTATGCAAAGTAACTTCTGGGAATGCCTAAAATGTAATAGTTTACTCGGTTTAAGAAGTTTTAAAAAATTATCATTGTGTCACGGATATAAATTGTCCAATAATTTAAATTTTTTCAAATTTTAAAGTCGAAAAAAAAATATACATCAGCTTATTAGTTTGCGAATTTTTAAGATAAAACCTTGTAAAATTTTCATTTTGCATTAGCTTTTTATTACTTATATAAAAAAAAATAGGTAAACATAAATGAGGAAGAAAACACTGACTAGATTGTAATTTTTATGTCAAGTATTTTTGATAAAAATTTATATATTTCGAAGTATATTTTAAAAGAGTAATTTTAAAAATATAACTTCAATTGCGACAATAACAACAACAACAACAGTAGTAGCAGCAGCAACACAACAACAACAACAACAACAACAACAACAACAACAACAACAACAGCGTTATTAACTTTTTCACGGATAATATAATATGATATTGTTATTAACTATGTCTATAAAAAAAAATTTTTAATAAAATATTTTCCCTTATAACAACCGAATAAATTATTCATATATTTTGTATTTTTACTTGAAAAGTTTTTCTTTTACTTTAAAGTAATTTTTTTCACAAATATTTTTTTTTCTGAAAAAAATCTGAAAAAGTCTTTTAAACTCTTCAAAACTCTTGGGAAAAATCCGAAATTTTCGGGTATATTTGACTTTTGCAGGTTTTCGAAGAGTTATGAAGACTTTAAAACTCTTTCTTTTTCTTATCAAAGGTTATGTTGACTTTCAGAAAGTCTTATGAAGACTTTTGAAGAGTTTTAAAGACTTTATCCGGAGCAACATTTCCACAAGGGCTATCATCAAAGTAACCGCTTTGATTTTATTGCAAAGTCATTAAATTTGACATGTCTGACTAGTATTGTATTATACTACTTTGTGTATTTATTTTTTAATAATTGTCATTGGCTTTGACATTTCATGATTATTTTGGCAATATCAATTCAATCTTTCAGTAAATATTCTAATTAATTATTGATTTGAAACAATTTATAATCAATAATCACATTTATAAATTTGTTATTGATAAAAAAGTGGAAATTTTTATTCGTTCATAATTAAAAGCAGTAATTAAATTAAGTAAAAAATTTTGCTTACTTATCTACTAAAGAATTTACTTTCTATAAAATTTTTATTTATTAAATATTTTTTTGACTTTTTAAATTTTACTTTAATTTATAGATTCCCCTGAAAAATTTATCCCAAGTGATAGTGATGCAACTTATGTCTCTGAAAATGATATTTTTGAAGAAAATGTAGTCTGTGAATCTGAAAAAACTTCTATTATAGATGATAACAACAATGTTCAGCGTGACGCTCGTATTGTAAATAATATAGACAATAATGAAGGTAACTTTAATGATTCATTATCATCAAGATTTACAGATTCAATCTATTCTGAACCTTTTGGCGTTTTACAAACGCCAATCGTAAATAATGACAAATATGACTTCAATGATTCATTATCGTCAAGATCTTCACATTGCTCATTACATGAAGACATTAACTCAACCCAAACTTCAATTGTAAATAATGATAATAATGATTATAATGATAATAATGATTATAATGATTCTAATGAATCATTATCATCGAGTTTTTCCCATTTATCATTAGCAACTGGTGAATTTGGAAAAACAGCCAATGTAAATAATGATAGTGATAAAAAAACTGACAGCAATAGTCCATTAATAAATAAAAATACTCTTAGTGAAAACAATGAAAAGGCTATAAAAAAAATAAGAACATCTGATTGTAACATCGAGGACGAATCTTTTGATTTGCCAGCAGAATTTTGGGAAAAAAATTATAATAATACGCCTAAATTAAATAAAGAATGGTGTAACGATTTTAATGATATTATTAAAAAGTATTATCCTTTATGTATTTTGAATTTTGACTGGCATAAATGTAGATATGGCTCTTCTAAACGAAAATTTTTTATAGCTTTTGGTTCATGTAAGTGTACTACATGTTCTCATTATTATTTTGTTTGCAACGATGACATTACACTACCTCACAGAACCCGAAAAGTACATGTATTTCGTAATAAAAAAATTTTTCATGATCCTGACAATGTTGAAAATCACCGACGACACATCACTGGAGAAAAAAGAAAGGCTCTTGGCAATGAAATCGGCAAAGGATCAACTTTAAAAAAAAAATTGCAGATGTTAAAGAAAGCTGACGAAGTTATTTTACAACATGGAAATTTAAATGATGCTCCAAGTCTTCAAATTTTACAAAAAATTAAAAGTGACCAGAAGAAAACAGAAGATTTATCGAATGATTATTATGCCTACACCGAATTGTTGTATAAAAAGTACGACGAAGAATTTAAAGGTTCAATGTTCGATAATTTTATAAATATTTATTTTAATAAACCTTATGTTGTTCATCTTCATAGTGAAAAACAATTACTAATGATAAAAAACATTCCTAAAGGACATGTTTTTCTTTTTTTAGACTCTACAGGATCAATTATAGCCCCTCCACCCGATATGGAAGCAACCGTATATTATTATTCTTTGTTACTGCCCGGAAACAACAGTGAACCGATTCAGCCATTTCCCATCGCAGAGATTATTAGTACTGTGCAATCTGTGCCATTTGTATCTTTTTGGTTACATCAATTACACTACTCATTGCTGTTAATTACAAAAAGACAGCAACCGGTAATTGACAAAATAGAAATAGACTTCAGCTCAACTTTAGTGCAGTCAGTGAGTCTTGCTTTCAATGGATTATCAATTATAGATTATGCTAATTGCGTTTATCGTAAGACACCTAGAGTGGAAAAGTTTACAACTATTCATTTATGTTCCTCACACATGATTAAAACTGCTGCGAGATACATAGATAAAAAGTGTACAAAGATAACCAAGAAAATAAATAAGGATATACGAAAATTAGCTCTTCAAATAATTTCTGCACTTATTCATAGCGATAACATGGATAAATGCTGGAAAATGTTTGAAATTTTTGTTCTTTTTCTTGCGATCCCACAAACACCTCAAAAATTTATTGAACTACGGGCAAATGTTGAACTCGAAAACATTCCTACCGATAATGAACCTGTGACTTCCTTTCAGGAAATAGATAAAGCATTTTCATATGATGGATTTGAAGACTCAATACGAAAAAAGGACTCTCTGTATTATAAAGAAGCAAGTCA